ATGAGTCCTTGAAACACTTGAAGGGCTAGCACAAACTAAATAAAAGGCATGCACGATGGGTGGAGTACATTGAGACGTTCCCATACATCATCCGGTATAAGCAAGGTAAGGAGAATGTGGTCGCCGATGCACTTTCTCGCAGGTATGCATTACTCTCTACACTTGATGCAAAATTCCTTGGTTTTGAGCACATTAAAAATTTATACGTTGATGATCACGAATTTTGTGAGGAATACCGGGCTTGTGAGAAAATTGGTAGTGGTAAGTTCTTTAGGCTTGATGGATTCCTATTTCGAGAGAATAAGTTATGCGTGCCTAATTGTTCCTTGAGGGAATTGTTAATGCAGGAATCTCATGGTGGGGGATTAATGGGACATTTTGGAGTTGCAAAGACTTTAGCTGTATTGCAAAAACACTTCTATTGGCCTCACATGAAAAGAGATGTTGAGAGAATTTGTGGTAGATGTATCACATGTAGGCAAGCTAAATCCAAAGTGCAGCTCAATGGTTTGTATACTCCTTTACCAATTCCTAGTAAGCCATGGATTGATATTTCAATGGACTTTGTGTTAGGATTGCCTAGGACTAAGCGTGGGAGAGATTCAATTTTTGTGGTTGTAGATAGATTCTCTAAGATGGCACACTTCATTCCTTGTCACAAAACAGATGATGCTTCGCATGTTGCTGACTTGTTCTTTCGAAAGATTGTGAGATTACATGGCATGCCTAGAACAATTGTTTCAGATCGAGATGCTAAGTTCCTAAGCTATTTTTGGAAGACCTTGTGGTGTAAGCTAGGTACTAAGCTATTGTTTTCTACTACTTGTCATCCACAAACTGATGGTCAAACTGAAGTAGTAAATAGGACTTTGTCTACTTTATTGAGGGCAATCATTAAAAAGAACATCAAAACATGGGAAGAATGTTTACCACATGTTGAGTTTGCTTATAACCGATCCATTCATTCTGCTACTAAATTTTCACCATTTGAAATTGTGTATGGATTTAATCCTTTAACCCCATTGGATTTATCTCTTTTACCTTTGACTGAGCATATTAATTTATATGACAAGAAGAAAGCTGACTTTGTTAAGCAGATTCATGAGAAAGCAAGACTCAACATTGAGCGAAGAACGGAGCAATACGCAAAACAAGCCAAAAGGGACGTCACAAGCTAATTTTTGAACCCGGAGATTGGGTTTGGCTGCATATGAGAAAAGAGAGATTTCCGGCGCAAAGACGTTCCAAATTGCTTCCAAGGGGAGATGGTCCTTTCCAAGTCCTGGAGCGCATCAATGACAACGCCTACAAGCTAGATTTACCTGGTGAGTACAATGTAAGTGCTACTTTTAATGTTACTGATTTGAGTCCTTTTGATGTAGGTGATGATTTGAGGGCAAATCCTTTTCAAGATGAGGGGAATGATGCAAATCATAACACAACTTCAAGGGATTTAGTTCAAGTTCCAAGTGAGCCGGTTACGAGAGTACGAGCAAGGAAGTTTAAAGAGGTACTCAATGGACTAATTCAAGAGGCATGAAATCAAGCAAGTTTGTGGAGGCCCATTGACCATGATCCACCTGGGCAACAAAGATTCATCAACATGATTCAAGTTCTAGAAGAATCCAGCTAGGGGCTAAGGCTAAGATTCAATTGATTTTTTGTTGTTAAGCCTTTCAATTTGTTTAAATAATTTTTATTATTAGTTTAGAATAAGTGGGTTTGAGGATGCTTAGCTCACATATGTCTTATTATTTTATTTGAACTAGGGTTTAGAATAAGTACTACAGCATGGTACTGTTCATGCTACAGTAACCATGACACTATTCACTCAAGGGCATTTTTTGAGAGAAAGGGTCACAAATTTAGTCTTTATCTATTCCTATTTAGATTAGGATTTGTTTCCTTAATAGATTAGGATTTGTTTCCTTGTAAATGGCCAGCCTATAAATAGGCATTCAGATCATTATTCAGCAAATTTTGAGAGTGTTTTCTCTTTGGTTCTTTGAAGAACTAAACGAACTTATCGAAATTTTCCGTGGCGTTCACCAACGACTTATCAAACGGGTTTCCACACCGTTTGTGGCGTCTTCCTTTATACCGAGGTTCTTGTTTCACAAACAGCGGGTTGAGGTCTATATACCAAGATTCTTGTTTGTTGTAAACAATGGGTCAAAGTTTACCATAAAATCTGATCGTTAAACGATCTTGGGTTCTTATCGTTGTTAGTTCTCGTTATTCTTGCAGGTACCCCACCAGTTAAGTTATACTGCAATGTGACTCAATAAAATATTAAATTTTGATATTGATCATAAAAAAAACTTGATATCGACCCAAGTTTTTTAGTGATTGTAATTTACCCCTATTGATTGGTAACTAAATCTATTTGAATCGTAATTTGATGTAACTGATTTGTAACTTATAATATCGTACCAACCTTACCATAGATAATAACAGCTAAGTCATCATGGAGACTTTATAAGACTTTTTTAAAGGATTCACAGAGGAAGTTTTTTTTTTTTTTTTGAATTGAGAGAATATTTGGGTTTAGTTATTGCAACATTTTATCATTTGATTCATTAACAAATCAAAATTTAGCTAGTTTCAATTTGTTTCTATTAATCCAACTACTATCTATTTTTAATAATTTCACAGTAACTGGAGTATTGGACAATAAATACTATTTTTGCACAGTAACATGGATATTAGAGTTGGGATGGACAAAATAAATCCTACCGCGATTTAATTCCGGGTAATTCATAGGTTAAAGTTTTCGAGTTTTCAAGACCAAACAAAAATTATTGAATATTTGCTCAAATAATGTAACCGAGAACCAAAACCCAAAATTTACAATTTTTAAACGGAATAGTTAACCCTAGAATTAAATCAGAAATTCAATTCAATTCAAATTGTATAAACGGAGTTCAAAATTTTAACAACGTGTGGAGTGCGTGTTTGAATTGGACTTTGTACTTGGGTAAATTTGACCCTCTCCTAACGGAGACAAGTTGAACTCTAGTTTGGATTAAAATTAGATTAAAGATTATAACTTGGGTCGAGTCCTTATTTACACAACAAACCCTCCAACAACAATTTTACCCCCTAGTGGAGCAATTCTTCTCGTCTTCCATCATAGATGAGCTGAGACAGACACAATGGCCTGTTATATATAATTAGCCAGGTTGTTTTACCAAACTTCAATTTGAAAAAGACTTGGCATGTTACTCGATGCCTTGACTATATAAATTAATATAAAACTGGGCATCTTCTAGAAATCAGCGAAAACTTCGGTACTAACACGCGTTTAAGACAATGATTATTATATAAATAATCTCTCAATTATTTGCATTATTAAATTAACAAGTCTAGGAAAGTGCGGTTATAATGAATAACTTCGTTTACACTCCTGACCGCTTTATGGTATGTTTAATGAAACTTTTTCACAGGAATATATTATGGCATCAAAAAAAAAAATTACTATTTTTTAAAATTAACTAATACTTTTAAAAGATAAAATTAGAACTGTTTGAGGTACTTCACGTTCCATCTCAAAATATTATAATTGATATTAAATTATTCAATTAGTTGTTAATTAAAATGAGAATTATAAATTTGATATCAAATTTTTCAATAAGTCCAGGCATATATCTTTAAAGTGTGAGGTTCAATTTGGCTGAACTTTTTCGTCTTGTAGTTCAAACTAATTTCTTTATTTATATATATATATGAGAATATTACCTTAGACTTTGTGTCTTGCACTTTGTCCAACCGAAAGCTAAACGAGAGTCAATGTTTTTCTCAAGAGAAATTCTACTCTTATTTCGTAGAAATCTACCACCACCACCACCCTCCACCATCACCGACAGTTAATTATCTGACAGTAAACTCAATGACATTGTACTAAAAGACAGAAAATTAAAAAATTTAACCCTTCTCCCTTCCATAATATATAAAAAAAGTGTACAACTATTTTTAGTTCACTGTTTAAGTTTATTGTCTTAAGTTCATAAAATCAAACTAGTAAGATTATACAAAATTCGTCAATCTAACTAAAGATATTTCATAAATTTCATAAAATACAATCAAATATTATCTAAATTTTACGTATCAAACAATTGATTCAAAAAAAAAGAGGAAAATAATGTTTGTAACTCACTGTCATGGATAAGGGTGCAACTTATGTCGGCCAACTTGAATTTAACCTTAACCTAATCCAAAAAAATAGAGTGAGTTGAGATTTTAATACTTGAATTGGCCCTGGACTGAAAAATACGATCTCGAATTGAATTTGGACAATACTTGAGTTGAGGCTCGGATTACCGAGTTCAACACGAATGTATAAATCGGGCTCAACCCAAATGTTGAATTGAGCTCTTCTCAAATATATTTAAAAATAAATATATAAATTTATAGATTCAATAAAATAACTTACAACTAAGATCTACACTTCACAATTCACTTTGATGAACGCCAACTCGAATTTTAATCCAAAATCAGTCCAAATTAAGTAACATAAAACACAACCTGAATTGTAACCTAAAATTAATCTGAATTAAATAAACCAAATTCAACTCGAGCTCACCTAAATTCAATTTAGGCAATACTCGGGTTAATGTTAAAATTATGGTTGGAGATTGTATACTTAGGGTTGGGCTAAGATTGACCTCTCAACCTGCCCAACCCTCCCGAGTTGCACCCCTACTGTTGAGTTTATTGCCTTTAATTCACTATCGGTGTTGATAGTACTGGTTGATAGGCGATGATGATGCTCATGGTGGTGGTGAATGATAGTGAGATGATTATAGTAGTAATAATAAATATAAGAATAGAACATAATAAATTTTTTTAATTAACTTACTTCATTAAAATTTTTTTTTTCAATTTCATATTTTATGAACTTTTTATCTTAAAAGTATTCAAAATTAGACCTCTCGTCTTAATGGTATGCCTCTCGCTAAATCTCTCTTAATTAAACTCTTATCTTTTAACGAGGGTCATACACTTGCCATGTCCCACAAGCCGCAAACAAAGGCAATCGTCAATGGTTGAACTGGTACTCGATACATAGTACACAGCAGCCTTGCATGTGTCAAAACGCCACATCAGCTCCTGCGTCACCACAATGTGGATCCCACATAAGTTCTCGTAACAAAACAACCCTTCACACATCGCTAGAATCCGTCCCTTCCTATCCTTTGCCCCAGTCCAAGGGTCACGATCAGGATCTGTTTACCGACACGTGTACACAAAGCCGGTGCCATATTTTTGGCCTTGCCCGAATTATATTTTGCCGTTTGCACAACCTCAAACGATTTTCTAAATTTTAAGTCATACTCTAAAAAATTAACATTTTTATATTTACTCTCAATTAATTAAAAATATAGTAATGTGATTTCATATTTATACACAATTATTTATATATTATTCATTTTCTAATTATTCACAAACTTTCAAATGAAGATCGATAGTAGTAGAATTTTAGAGTCGATTGTCCATTTTAAATTCAAAACATTTAATGGACTCAACGGTTGCATAACGGGCCAAAAAATCCCTCCATGACTTATTTGCTCTGCAATAAGGAAAAGACAATAATTCAAAAGACGGAACCCAACAAAGAGTCCAACGTAGCACAATCCCGCTTGATCATAACAAGCTTAGCAGTAAACAGTTCAAAAACAAGGAACTCGGTATTCACCAGACCACCGAATGTCTCATATCGCTCCATGTGTCCAAGGAACAATTTCTGGAGCCTCTAAAGAATGTGTACTCGCTGGTAAATAGAATATTTGTGCACATTCTATTAAAAGATTGCAGATATGACTAGTGTTAGGGTAACGGTCACCACTGTAAGACAAAAAAGAGCGGACCATAGAATCAGCCGAAAGATGAAGAAGATTGCAGAAACACTTAGATAACCACTTGTATAAATAGAATACTATCACGCAATCTAAAGGAGGACTGAAAAAACTTGTATTGGCAAGGCATTACTCACTCAAGCTCTAAACTACGAAATTCATTGTCATCTTCTTTGTTAAATAATACAAATTTTATAGAGCAAGAACCTCCATTATAATGTACATAAACATTGGTCTTTTCCACTAAGATGAACTATTTATATACCTTCTGTGATCCCCTATTTAAATACTTTTCTATGCTAGCTTAGAATATTCATGTTACCCTCCCCATTTTTGCAAAAACATTGATCCGGACTTGACCTTAGGATTTTCGAGCACTATCAAAGATATTTACATAAAATTTTTGTACTCAAATTTATTAAGGCAAACTAAATTATTATGTGTTTTATTTGCTTGAGAGAATAATATAAAAATTTTAATTTTTTAAGATATAAATTAAAAGGTTTGACTATAATGCTATTTTTTTTGTTATTGTGTCACTTATCCCTTTTTTAGGTATTTATATAATATTAAATTTGAGGGTACCCCTTTTTAGGTTCACTTACTATTTTTCTGGTGAAATTTTTTATTTTTTATTTTTTTACTTACTATTCTTCAGGTAAATCTTATTATTTTTTAGTTTTTGGGTGAAACTTATCACATTTTGGATTTTTTTTAATTTTTTGAAATATTACTAAAAAAATAAAAAATAGTGCAATAATTTTCTCTTAAATTTAAAATCAGCTATAGTGTCATTCGAGCTTTTAAGTCAATTCACAACCTCCAAGCCAAGCTTTACCGACACGTGTACACCAAATCGGTCCCATATTTTGGGCCTTTTAAGTCAATCCACAACCCCCGCGAGTCAATCTTCACGACGGCTTGGTCACTTATCAAAATCCTATCTTTACCAACGCACTTTTTCTCTTCCGACGATGTCAAACGCCGGCGATTATCGGAAGTTCCCGATGAGCTACAACCCTCCCGGAGCCTCCACCGGGAACACTCTTTCTCAGTTCTCGGAGGTCAGCTCCGACCCTACAGTACCACTTCTCAACCTCTCCACCGTCCAAGCTAGAATGGACTCCCTCCAACGCTTCCTCTCCGGCTCGGTCAATGGCAATACTCTGATCGGAAAAGATCGAATGGACATGGTCTCCGCCGAGATCGCTTCCGCCATACATCAGATCATAGTCAACGGAGCTGCTCTTCTCGCTTGCTCTCAGAACCCATCTTCTCTCGAAATAGCCCCAAACCCTAACCAGATCATCGGTCCCAAATCCTCTGATTCAACGACTTTGATGGTCAATCCACGAGCTGGTAGTATTGTCTTAGAATCAGAAATGAAGATGATGGGTCTGAAAGTAGAGTTAATTGAAGACGAAATTAATGACGATTATGAAATAGTAGAGCTCGATTCGGTTGAGCTTTTAGCAGAGCACAGCCATTTCTGTGATATATGTGGAAAGGGGTTCAAGCGAGACGCAAATTTGAGGATGCATATGCGAGCCCATGGGAACCAATTCAAAACTCCAGAGGCACTGGCAAAGCCTGAGAAGTGTGGATCTGACATGACTCGAAGGACAAGATTTTCATGCCCGTACATGGGGTGTAATCGGAACAAATCACACAACAAATTCAGGCCGCTGAAATCGGCGATTTGTGTTAAGAATCACTTCAAGAGAAGCCATTGTCCCAAGATGTATTCGTGTAATAGGTGTAACAAGAAGAGCTTCTCGGTTTTGGCGGATCTGAAGAGCCATTTGAAGCACTGTGGAGAGACTAAGTGGAAGTGTTCTTGTGGAACCAGCTTTTCGAGGAAGGACAAGTTGTTTGGACATGTGGCTTTGTTTCAGGGGCACATGCCAGCGGTGGAGGAGGAGAAACAGAAAGGGGTGGTAGTAATGGTGGAGGATGAAGAGGAAGAGGAGGATCCAATGATGAATGGAATGGAATTGGATTCTGATAATGGGTTTTTTGAGGGACTGCTTGAAGGGTTTGGTTCGATTGAGGACTATTGTTTGCAAGATGTATTGGGTTCTCCTAATAGCAATGGAATGGATGGGATCTTTAACTTTGACATGAAACAGGTATAGTCCTTCATATGTACCTGTTGTTTAGGGAGTCATATTTATGTATGCATTCTTTGTACTAGTAATTAGTTTAACTTTTGAGACTTTGGTTACATGTTCTTATGTTCTTTTGCCTGTGCTTTTGTTGATGCAAATAATAATTTCCTGTTTCGATTTGCAATAAAAAGCCAGTTCTTGTTTGATTTCTGTTTGATATAAATTCGGTATATATACATATGAGTTTGTAGAGAATGCAGATTGTGATTTGCATTATGTTTGTAACAGATGCAGACCCATAGATACCACGATCGTAAATACCCCTAACATTCCACGAGTCAGGTCGCACGACCGTCACCGGTGGTGTGGGTTTGCCATTCAGATCAATCAAACTCCTCGATCCCAAATCATAACTTAAAGTATAAATTAATTCACGATTTAAGTAATTTCATATCATAACCCCATTCCTAAATAATAACTCTTAATTTGTTATTTTTTTAATTTTATTTTATTTTGCCTTGTTCTTTAAATTCATATTTTGACAACATTTATTAAATATTTATTAATTACGTATATACACATATATTGTTGTATCTATTTAGAAGTTACAAAACGAATTACGATCCAAAATAACATAGTAAATAAGTGTGCTCCTATGGTACTACGTATTAAAAGAAGTATTGTATCATTTCTAATTGATCTACGATCCTAGTAATATTGGAGACCTCTTCATACTTTTTTTTTCAGTGATCATTAAATTAAACATATTTGTTAGGGAGGCTACTTAAAGTCTCGGAATTGTAGGCAAATATTGAAGTTATTTGGGATTAAAGGAGGGCTACTCAATGTAAGATTTGGAACTTTATTCACCCACTAATATGGGCAATGAGGTGTGTAAAAAAAAAAAAAACACTTAGAAATTAATTCATGAGCTGCTTTGGAAAATATCAAAAGGGATAATACAATAGAGATTACAATTATTCAGGTCATGTTCTTTGTTGGTGGAAGGTGTTTGGAAATAAATGATAATTTTTTTGATAAGATCGTGTTGGAGAACTTTCACTTTCATTTATCTACTCTTTCATGATTATCTTAAACGTGTATTAGACTTATAGATATTATTATTATTATTATTATTCCTCTGTTGAAGCTGAGCTGAGAATTATAAGGTAACCATTTTGAGGATGTAAGAAAGCTACTACTTCTAAAGCTATAATCCCGGCCCTCAATGTTTCGTTTTTTCACTAATGAGTTGGGATCCTCTCAATCCTAGAAATCGCTCTATTTCGTCAATTTAAATGTCTCACCATTAAAGGTGGAAGCCACAAGTGAGACCACCCATGAGTAGGGCCAACAGTTTAATGGGGTAGTGAATAATAACAGTCTCCTTATTTGGAATGACACGTGGCATATATACTAGTTAATCTCTGTATCTGAATTTTTGTTGATAATTTTAAAAAATAAAATAACATTACCTAGAGTAAAGAGATGTACATAACTCATTTTCTCTCTGAAAATAGGACTTCATGAAAATGGCATCCTGTAAAATTTATATACTTTTAAATCGGACCCTAAAAGTTGCTACAAAAAACAAACGAAAAGCCAAAATGTTAGTATGAATCAATGGTGTAGCAAAAAATAGCAAATATTAGTCAATGACATAGCAAAAACATAGTAGAATACAACTAAATAAGAAATAAAACAAAACAAATAAAAGTAGGTTCATATATACACAGTGTCATTGCATCAGAAATAAAAAGTGAAACAAATATCACGGGTTATTAACCAGGATTGTAATTGCTAGAGAAATGTTTGTTCTAAAGAAAAAACGCGACTCAAACAAATTGTTGTACTCACTTCGTGCCATAGTTAGACGTTAACACAACCATTTGACTATTGCCGCAACATCGCTATGTAACCCAAAAAAAATTGACAATGAGAAAACATAAGAGCATTCGCAGGAGGAAAGTGAGTATAACTTGTTATGTTCATAAATAGAAACACTTAAAACAATCAACCATAACCATAAACACTAAAAAATTTTAGGACGACAAATACCAACTAAAGTTTTGGTCTAATTTTTCTGCACAAAATATCTAACTTGGCTCAACAAAATAGCTCATCATTTAATTTAATTCAATTAATTTGGCACATTCATCCAAAATCACATGCATGCAAAGCAAGGCTCATCGCTTCCTATTTAAAA